GTAGGTGAGTTTACATGTCCTCGTTTCCTAATAAAAGAAAATCTATTATACTATGCCAAAGAGGTTGAAGGTCAGCGGAGAGATTTGTTGGTTGTCCCAAAACAATATGTGTCCACAGTGTTGCATCTGGCTCACAGCCATGTCCTAGGGGCCCACCTAGGTGTTGAGAAGACAGGCAGCGGATTGTGAGCCGGTTCCACAGGCCAGGGGTGGTAAGAGCTATTGAGGAGTCATGTTGCAAACGCGTTGAATGTCAAAAGATGAGTCGCAAGCCACACTTTAAAAATCCCCTAATACCTCTACCGATAATCAATGTACCGTTTTCTCGCATTGCCATGGACTTAGTGGGACCGCTGGAGAAGTCTGCCAGGGGACATCAGTATATTCTTGTGATTCTTGACTATGCAACCAGGTACCCAGAGGCCATTCCCTTGAGGAACATTACTACGAGAGTGATTGCACGGGAGCTGCTTCACCTGTTCAGCCGAGTTGGGATTCCTAAAGAGATGCTAACAGACCAAGGCACTCCCTTCATGTCCAAGGTAATGAAGGATCTCTGCAGGCTCTTCAAGGTAAAGCAGCTTCGTACATCTGTCTACCATCCTCAGACAGACGGGTTGGTAGAACGCTTTAATAAGACATTGAAATCCATGTTAAAGAAGGTTGTTGACAAGGATGGTCGTAACTGGGACCAGCTGCTACCCTATGTCCTGTTTTCAATCAGGGAAGTTCCGCAGGCTTCAACTGGTTTCTCCCCCTTCGAGCTGCTGTATGGCCGACAGCCCAGAGGACTTCTCGACATCGCAAAGGAAGCCTGGGAGGAGCAACCAATCCCCCATTGGAGCCTGATTGAGCATATAGAGACGATGCAGGTGCATATGAAAGATGTCTGGCCCATGGTGAGCACATTGCTCAAGCCCAAGAAGCCCAGAGGAAAGTGTATAACAGAGGTGCCCAACCGTGGGAGTTCCTGCCAGGGGATAAAGTGCTTGTCCTGGTCCCCACCACAGAACACAGATTCCTGGCATCGTGGCAAGGACCCTATGAAGGGGCAGAGAAGGTAGGACCAGTCAATTACAAGGTACGCCAACCTGGCTGTCGCAAAACATTGCAAATCTACCATGTTAACCTGTTACGCCCGAGAGGCACTGCTGTGTTGTTCTTGCCCGGTTGTGTTTCCCTCTTCTCCAGACAATGAGGTGGCCGAAGTTGAATACAGTCCAGGGCTATCCAAAGCTCAATTACAGCAAACCAAGGAGCTGGTTCAGCAGAGTTTGGATGTGTTCTCAGTACGACCTGGACGCACATCGATGGTGGAACATCAAATCTACACAGAGCCGGGCCAAAAGGTAAAGGTGCGGCCCTACCGGGTGCCGGAGGCAAGACAATCCATTGAGCAAGAATTGCAGAAAATGCTGGCTATGGGAGTGATTGAAGAATCTCCCCAACCCACTCTCTTCAGTCTGTGTACAAATGACAGGACTTTACACATTGGAAATGCGTGCAATAGATACGCAGAAGTCCGATTTTGCGTGCATATGATACGCTAACCATTCCCATTGAGATCTGAGGCCGAGTTTTGCGTGCATATGATACGCCACGTTTCGTGCATACACCACTTATTTTTGTCCGGTCGGTTCTTTGTAGACCGGAAGCTGTGTGGTTCATAAAAACATGTTCTTACTCAATATATATAGACATTTTATTCATTGGGATAAACCCCTTGAGATGCACCATCTCGTTTTCAAGGGGGTCCCGACAATAGCAACAACTTACCAATACCAAGCCATGATTATTGTTTTTATTTTAAATCGTATAATGTCGGACTTTGTTTGCCGTCTGTGAGGAATAGAAATGTGGCTCAGAGCCACAGAATAATGAAGTCTGTATTTCTTTTAATCTTTTTTTCCTTCTAATTTGTTCTTTTTTTCTAAATAACACACTGTTATTTACTCAACAATAACACACAATTATCCTTGTTTTTATTTATTCGTTTGATTCTATAATCTTGGGCTTTTTAGCCATAAATAAAGTCACCGGAAACAGACACCACAAACCCACTGAACTGATTACCCAAGATCCTCAGCTTGAAGCTCGGGGATGTTTTAGCCGCAATGCACGTAGGGATATCCGAAAAAAAATTCAGAGTTTAGGATGGCCGAAGACACTACACTACCCATAATCCCCTGCTATCCTTTGGGACTACAGTCCCGTTGACAAACCCCGTGATTAATCTTCAAGCTCTGGATGTTGGAGTGGCAGTGCGCCAAGGTTACGTCGAGCGTCAAGCTCTTTGAAATGGAACGAAACCACGGCAGATTATTCAAAACTGGACTCGAACGCCCCCCCCAGAACTACACATGCTGGCTATTGTGTTTCGCAACATGTTCTCTATGGCACGTCTCTACTGGGAATTGTAGTTTTAAAAGACGTTTTCGTTTTCCCCAGAATTAGAAGTTGACAGTATTAAACTGTGTACAGCCCTGGAGGTTTAGGCGACAGGAAACAAATTGGTGTTTACAAATTTAAAACATATAATTAATAAATGGGTGAAAATCACTTGTGTCCATAATGGGCAGCATTAATATTAATATTAACATGACAGCTCATTACTTTGTATTTTTACTCCACTACATTTATTTTAGTTACTTTGCAGATTCTGATTAATGATGTGAAATATAAACAACCCTTAATTAGTGTTGATACTGCAAGGAGACGTATTGTGTGAAAAGAAATGTAAGATGTTGTTTAATTGCTTATATATTTATGATCCACGTCACATCTTCAGTTTAGGCGGCAGTTCTTCCTGTTTGTCTAGAAGTCTTCTCAGCAGGGCTCTATAAATAGAGAACTACGGATTTACAACGTGTATTACAATGCCGTTATGTGATGAGAAAAGCAAGAACACTCGGAATAAAGTATTATTTCATTTTTTTTTTTTATGTTTTCGGATTTCACATCGCATAAACACCATATCCCAGCGTGCATTGCGGCTAAACCATTCAATCACCGAGCTGAGGATCTTTCCTACGTCTGTTTCCGGTATTGTTTTTGACGGATATATTTTGTTATATTAACATCGATTTAATGCATTAATGTAGCCTTTGTTTCCTCTAAAAGAGGTGTCGATCAGCTGGGGCAAAAAGAAAATCGGCGAAATCGAGTGTGACTATTAAAAAATAAATCATTATTATATTAATATTGACAATAACAACTGACCGTCTTGGTAGAGCATTTGCTTTAGCATTTCCGGGTATTTCTCCACTGGTTGGGCCATGTTAACAATACCGTAATCCAGTTTAGTGGATATAAAACAATGTATTACTTTCTCAAAGTCATTAAAAGAAAGGAAAGGCTTGACGTTTGCTAAAAGTCTTGGCTGAAAGAAGCTGGATTTTACCACAGAATTGATCTGTTTGTCTAGTTTAAAATCACGATCAATCCGTACAGCGAGCTTTGTGACAATGGGTTTCACACATGGGACAAGAGAATCCAGCACAGGCGGGGCATTGGGGCCACCACTGGGTCCAAACATTATCACCTCTGTCTTTTTTTCATTGAATTTTAAAAGGTTCAAGGCCATCCAGGCTCGGATGTCCTGCAGATAGTCAGACAGGCGTTTCTGAGGGTTTGGGTCATTTATATTCAGGGGCATGTAGATTTGAGAGTCATCTGCATAAAAATGAAATGAGACGCCATATTTCTTAATGATAGCACGCAGGGGGAGCAGGTACAGGGAAAATAAAATCGGCCCAAGAATGAAGCCTTGGGGTACCCCGTACGGGAGAGGAGCAGAGGAGGAAGTCAATTCAGTAAGATTTATATTAAAGCTTCTTTCGACTTAAACCAGAACAACACATATTTCTACATTTCGTCATACCAGAATGAGTTTTCCTTACATTTTACTGAATGTCTAGTGATCTACTCATATGTATAGACATAACAATATACGAATAGTCTGTAAATAAAAATGACAAAAAGTTAAAACCGCCAATCATTTCACAAAATCTCAGAGGTGATCATTTTCAATTAGCCAGCAGTCCAGTGACTACGTTCAAAACAATGAAGAGCAGCCAACTCTGACATCAGAGAAAAGAGAACCACTGAGTTCATATGTTTACTTATTTACTTGGTTCTTAGTCCGGGCAGAAAAGCAGCACCGGCGAGGCAGAGGGAGAAATGGCACATTTGGGAGATTGTGTTGGGTTGGTGGTATGAGGGCTTAAGTTATGAGTCGTGTCTCATTACAGCTAGACTCATAGGCGGAGTTTGACATTTGCGCTTGGGGGGCAAACCTTTTTTTACTGACGTCAGTACACAGTCCCAACTATTGTGTGGGGTGCTACAGATACAGTAGCAATAAAGCCAGCGTTCACCGCACTGAGTATGACTTTTCCACATACGAACACAACTCGTCCCGTCATGCACGCCTCATGCCCGCCGTACACACTCACTCATATGGAAGGTGCGGTCTCTCCCCCCTACAACAAGCATTACATAACTGTAAAACGTATCATAACTGTGCACATCTTATACTTATTTGATAACTACTATATCTCTTGGTTACTTGAACACGCTACAATATTATGAACCAGTGTCCTACCTTAGTGCAGAAGTAGACGCCTTAAACGTTTTAAAAATCGCCGCATAGCCATTACTGCTAATTATTGTAATACAATAGCTGAATCACTTGTATGCAAAAAAAAGCGAGGGAACTTGTGTCCTTAACCTCATACGTCACACACACACACGTCACAACATGCGACTGCTCAAAAATTATTTCAAACAAAACATGATATTATTCAGAGTTGTATTGTAACAATCATTATATTACATCTATTACAAATATTGACATACGAAATATTTGTATTGGAACAGCTTTAGACGTAGTAATGCTGTAACATATTTCAGCCACTAGGGGGGGCAATGCCCCCCCTTCCCCCCCGCAAAATCCGCCTATGGCTAGACTTGACTGAACTCCATTTTAGTCGGACAAATCACGTTTGAAATGTTTATTAACAGCAGCTTATAGTTTCAGTTTGGACCCAGCCTCACATCGAGCCATTCCCCCTGAGCTCCAAGGCTTTCCCGTGAATATATTATCTAGTGAGACTGCTATGTGTCGGCCTGGGACCGGCCACAACAAGCCAACTACCCCCTAAGCACCTTGACCTTGAGGGGAAGAAACTATCCCATAAGACCTCTATGTGTGGGCCTGGGTCCGGCCCCAACGAGCCCACGTTCAAGCAAAGATGAGTTGATAATCCAGCCCAGTAACCACCTGATATGCTATAATTTTCCAGCTATAAATATGTATTCAAACATCAAGGATTGCAAGGGGAACAGTGGTGGGGGGTATGACCTCCTTTTTGAAGATGGAGGGTGTGAATACAGAGAGAAGGTTCAGGAGCAACTCTGCTGCTTAGTCTCCGCAACAGTTCCCGTAAATACTCAAAAATGTACTTTCAAATGTATAATTTTCTAGACTACACACTGAATTCTTCCATTGATGAGGGGCGTTCTCTCTTTTGACATCTGGATTGTCTGCACTGATTTAGCGTGAATGCAATAACCTCCACTCTCCAGGAGTTACAGACTTTATAGAACATCCCATTATTGTGTTCTCTTTAAAATGTGGGTGATTGCTATACACATGAATGCTGACCCTTCTGACGTTTGACCTTCTGTGAGAATGCTGTTCTTTGACTCAAGTAAACCTCTACATATTAAACTCAACTTGAGAGTCATTGTCCGAGTTACTCTGGATACACATTGTCTTTCTCTTCAGTAGAAACTGATATCCATGTCCTATAAAAGATCTCTTGGTTAATGCTCACAACCATCACATTTCATTTAATCACCTTTTATAAACACTACAATGCTTCACTCTCTGTTTCAAAAACACAAGTTTGCAATGAAATCATTTGGCATTTCTTATTTTTTTAATTATTTTTCAATGCTGCATGGGTTGCAGAAATACTCCAACTGAATAATGGCAGCTCAGATTCAGTCTGGAGGTCTGTGAAGTGGTTCCTGTGCTCATGATATCTCCACCTCCACAGGGAAATGGTCACTGACGGCCTTCGCCTGAGAGAATAGACAAGGAAACACTTTAGAAAGTTTCCCCTTGTGGATCAATGTGTTAGTTCAACTAAGCATACATGTCTCAGTTAAACATATACCAGGTGGTTTCTTTGCACAAGATGGCCTTAAAGGAAGCTAATAGCTAATAAATAACCTTATTAGGGTTTTATGCTTGGTGTTTTCAGAAAGCTGCTTTCAAACTATTCCTTTAAAGAGATAATGTTACGCAGAGTGTAGCAGGTAGGACCCAAACGCAGATTACACTTGACGATACCTTTATTTCAAGGACTTTAAATAAACTTGGACAAACAAAACACTCTTCGGTGAACTGGGTCACATACAAAAGAAGCACCAACACTGAACACAGGAGGAGACAAGACTAAATACAGGGAGGGGTAATCACAAGACGAGAAACAGCCGGTTAGGGGAGGAGAAACACAAGGGCCACAGGTGAACACAATCAGACAACTAGACACACCAGGGAAACTAACGACAGGAGGAAAACACAGGGAAAAGGACCAGACAATAAACCAGGAGGAAAACATGACATGGAGAACAGCAAAAACACCCAAACCTACAAAACTACAACCGTGACATGAACTTAGGAGTGTGACAGATAAGAAGAAAACATTCAACACGTCCTTGTTCAGAGTCTGCTCTGAAAAAAGGGTAGGTTCAACTTAATGTTATAGCTTTCAGCTAATATAATACATTTATGTGAAATTATACATTTAATTCAAGTCAACGTTTCGGCTCTCTCCTCAATGGACACAATTGAGAAAAGGTGCTAGTGCTCAGAAAAAGACCCTTTGTGCACAAAGGCCCTTAAGACCATCTTTATAGACCTTCAGACATTTAAGTACAATGACACTGCAATGAACCTAGTGGGGTACTAGAAAGTTGTTGTTACCTGAGCCTGGTTAAGACCATATGCATTCTCAAAGTCAAACTTGTCAGCGTTGCGGGGGTTCATTCCCTTGTACATGTCATTGGTGACGACAATCCTGCAGACAGAGGAAGAGAGGCGTGATTAAGAGTGTGTGTGAAGGGTGTATATGATTATCCAACACGTTCTCACTCCCAACTCGTGCTATAGTGATGTTATGTCAGGATCCTTTGGCGTCCCTTTCAAACGCAGTGGGAGGACCTTTAGCGTCGAAACTCAACTATCAGGGAGTCCCATAGACTTGCACAGAGCTCCCTGAACGTCCGTGATAGACGAGTTGAGATCACAGCGAAATGCTCTCCGCAGACCCATTCTCACAGCGTTTATCAACCTTTTTCTAACTCAATATCAAGCCACACTTATTGGTTTTACTTCTTTATTGTAATTGTATAATGTCTGACTTTGTTGCTGTGAGTTAGGGGGAGAGTAGGGGCTCAGAAAACTGAAATCTGTATTGTTTCATAGCTTTTTCTTTCAAATGTTGTATTCTTTTCTAAACCTGACTTATTTACTCAACAATAAAACACAATTATCCTTGTTTTTATTTATTTGTTTGACTGTATAATGTAGGACGAGTTGGGAGTGAACATGTACGGCTGTATATAATTATCTGTGTGTGTTCACCTGTCGTAATCGTTTCCAGACTTCGACACTGTACTGTCAACATTGTTGGCGATCAGCCAGTGGAAGACATTGGTGTCGAAGAGGGGGATAGTCGGCCGCTTGTACAATGGTACATAATTGATGCCTGCGTTGAAGTCTCCGAGCACCATGATGTTCTGCAGGCAGAGGGGAAAAGCTCAAATTCATTATTTTAAAACTAGATCAGAATAATGTCATGGTAATGGTGAATCTAAAAACAAAACAACAAATGTAATCGCCCCCTATCTAGATGCTGCTCTCTGTCGGGGAAATATGGGCTTACATAGTAATAGTGTTTTCTACTACTGTTACTAACAGTTCGGCTAAAGAATAGTTTGGTGTTTCTACGGTTGTAGAGTTTTACATTGTTTTGCCATTTTCTTTTGGCCTCCTTCACCACGTCCACAAGGGCCTTGAGTTCTTCTACAGCAGTTCTTGGAGAGGTGTGAATGGGGATCAGAACAAAGTCCATCACAGCTGGAGACCAGGAGAGAGAGAGGAGTGAATGAAGAGAGACAATGACAACAGGAGAAATACCGCTAAAGTAAGTAAATGAACCTCATCACATTCAACCACTAATACAAAACTAAGTCCTTTAAATTTGGCAGGAAGGACTTGAAACTTGAAAAAGAGGACTGAGTGTGTGGCAGAAAATATTAAACCGACTGAATGATAGAGTTGTTCAAAGTGGTGTTGGTGACGGACAGACCTCAGGATCTCCTCTCACACAAGTCTGGTGCTTAGTTCTCTAAAATAGTTGAGATAATCTACATTTCCAGTGAAAGAACAGTCTCTCCTCTAATACCGGGCTCTGTGGAGGAAAACTGGACGACGTAGGGCGGTCTGTTGAAGTCGCCTGCCTTGCCCTCATCGTATTGGAAGCTGCCTTTCACGGACACCGTCTGATTCCTGCAGAGGAAAGATGGAACTCTTTATTTTGAAGACGTCTCCAAACAGTGGATCGAGTTCGACTCTTTCTCATGGTCAGATATTCACACAACTCCTGGAGCATTTTCTATGCTGTTTAAACTCTTTATCAAACACATAGTATCTCTTTCTGTTCACTGATCTGAGGTATTAACAAAGCAATCCATACAAAAGATCATTTAACTGTTGTTGTTTTGTTTTTGCCCTTTTGTGTTTTACTTGTAGAGGAAGAGGTATCTCTCCTTATGGCTGCCGGGACCCAAGGGCAGGGGCTCACTGGAGATGTTTGTGAACTGATGAGAAACTCTGGGGAAACACACACACACACAGATATAACTTTTGTTTATCTTAAATCATAATTTGAGTTCATTATCTGTCGAACTTTTTTATAAACTTCTACAAAAGGTCACTATTAGTGCTGCAGCATTTGGTGATGGCAAAAACATGGCATAAAACACAAAGGAAACACAAGGAAGATACAATACCAAAAAGCTTACGGTGACTGATATGGAGGGAGACAGAAAAAACAAACAATGAACCAACACTGAACACAGGAAGAGACAAGACTAAATACAGGGAGGCATAATCACGAGACGAGAAACAGCCGGGCAGGGGAGGAGAAATACAAGGGCAACAGGTGAACACAATCAGACAATCAGACAATCCAGGGAAACTAACGACAGGGAGGAAGACACAGGGAGAAAAGAACAGCAAAACAAAACCCATTACCAGACACACAAAACTAAAATCGTGACATGACATAAGGGGTCTCAGGCGGACGGCCCGGGGGCAAGGCAGAGTTCATAAAGGGGCGAAGGTCACAGCGGGCGAACTCAGGGGGCTGGGCATGAGGGCGAAGGCAGCGGCTGGAAGAGTCAGGGGGCCGGGCCCGAGGGCTGCGGCCGGGAAAGTCAGGGGGCTGGGCTCGAGGGCGAAGAACACGGCACTCAGGGGGCTGGGCTAGAGAGCGAAGACCGCAGCTGGGGAACTCAGGGGGCCGGGCACAAGGACGGACGGGCAGGAGCTGGTGTCGGCTGGACCCCCAATGAAACAGGTGTTGGCGAGACCCCCGGCGGGACAGGTGTCGGCGGGACCCCCAACAGGTCAGGGCACGGAGTTGGCAGGACTCCCAACGGAACCCCCAACGGAACAGGACATGGGGTTGGAAGGACTCTCAGCGGAACCCCCAACGACACAGGACATGGAGTTGGCAGGACCCCCGACGCAACAGGTGTCAGCTGGATTTACAACGGCACAGGACATAGGATTGGCAGGACCCCTGGCAGAACAGTAGTCGGCGGGGCCTCCAATGGCACAGGACATAGGGTTGGCAGGACCCCCGGCAGAAGAGTAGTCGGTGGGGCCTCCGACGGCACAGGACATAGGGTTGGCAGGACCCCCGGCAGAAGAGTAGTCGGCGGAACCCCCAACGGCACAGGACATAGAGTTGGCACGACCCCCGGCAGAAGAGTGGTTGGCGGGACCCCCAACGGGACAGGACATGGAGTTGGCAGGACCCCCAGCGGAACCTCGAACGGCACAGGACATAGGGTTGGCAGGACATAGGGTTGGCAGGACCCCCGGCAGAAGAGTAGTCGGTGGGACCCCCAACGGGACAGGACATGGAGTTGGCAGGACCCCCAGCGGAACCTCTAATTGACCAGGACATTGGGTAGGGACTTGAGAGGGGACTCGAGAGGTGACTTGAAAGGGAACTCGAGAGGAGACTTGAGAGGGAACTCGAGAGGAGACTTGAGAGGGAACTCGAGACATGACTTGAAAGAGGACTCCAGAGGGAACTTGAGAGGGAACTTGAGAGGAGACTCGAGAGGGGACCTGAGAAGGAACTTGAGAGGGGACTCGAGAGGGAACTTGAGAGGAGACTCGAGAGGGGACCTGAGAAGGAACTTGAGAGGGGACTCGAGAGGAGACTCGAGAGGAGACTTGAGAGGGAACTCGAGAGGAGACTCGAGAGGGAACTCGAGAAGAGACTCGAGAGGGGACTCGAGAAGAGATACAAGAGGGGACTTGAGAAGGAACTTGAGAGGAGACTTGAGACGGTCGGTTCGCTGACAGAACACGGGGGGGCTGGAGTCGGCCGGAACACCGTCAGGAGACGAGGTGCTGGAGTCGGCCGGTACGTCCACAGGACACGGGGAGCTGGCATCGGCCGGTACGTCCACAGGACACGGGTGCTGGCGTTGGCCGGTACGCCGACAGGACACGGGGAGCTGGCGTCGGCCGGAGAGCCAACAGGAGACGAGAGGCTGGAGTCGGCCGGTACGCCGACAAGACACGGGGAACTGGCGTCGGCCGGAGAGCCAGTACTGGAGCCGAAACTGGAGTCAGGACCATGGCTACTGGGGCCGGTACTGAAGCCGGAACCAGAGCTGTTGGGGCCGGTTCTGGAGCCGGAACCATGGCTGTGTGAGCCAGGTAAGCATGGCTGTGTGGGCCGGTACTGGTGCACGAATCCATGGCTTTGTGGGGTGGTTCTGGAGCCTGAACCATGTTTGCTGGGGACAGAAGTTGGGCTGGAACCATGGCTGCTGGGGCCAGAAGTGGGTCTGGAACCATGGCTGCTGGGGCCAGAAGTGGGTCTGGAACCATGGCTGCTGGGGCCTGTACTGGAGCCCAAAGCTTGGCTTCTGGGGCTCGGGCTGACATAGCCTGACGAGTACCCGAGAACGGCTCCTGGACAGGAGCAGGAAATGGGGCAGAAGCAGGGGTTGACTCCAGACGGAACACACCGAGACGTATGGTGTCAGGTTGGGAATTGGGAGGCAGGGGGCTAGCATGCCTGGAGCTAGCTAGCCGGGAATCACATGTCTGGAGGAAGTCCATAATCCAGTCAGGTAAAAATAAACATGGTTTCTCTGTTGCCAACCGGTGCACCTCTGCCAGAGCGGCCTACTTCTGTAGAACACTGGACACTCCCTTAAGCCAATCATAGCAGCAAGGCAATAAAAAAGTAAAATGAATTAATTCAACCTCAAATGGATCATCTGCTGGGTCCATTTCTGGTCGGTTCATTCTGTTACGATTTGGGAAAGGTAGGACCCAAAAGCAGACTACAAAAAAAGGTAAGTGCTGCATTCGACACGGTGAATCATCAGATTCTCCTTCGCACTCTCCAAAAACTTGGAGTTTCAGGCTCTGCACTTTCCCTCCTCACCTCATACCTGAAAGACCGTACCTACAGGGTGACTTGGAGAGGGTCTGAGTCCGACCCTTGTCAATTAACTACAGGGGTCCCTCAGGGCTTTGTTCTTGGTCTCCTCTTCTCCCTGTACACAAACTCGCTCGGATCAGTCATTAGCCCGCATGGTTTTTCATACCACTGCTACGCTGACGACACCCAATTAATTCTGTCCTTTCCCCGCTCAGAGACCCAGGTCGTCGCACGCATCTCTGCTTGTCTAGCTGACATCTCTCAGTGGATGTCTGCTCATCACCTCAAGCTCAACCTTGACAAGACTGAGCTGCTCTTCCTTCCGGGAAAAGATTGTTCCACTCTTGACCTAACAATCAACATCGGCACCTGTGTTGTTTCCCCGACTCAGACTGCAAGGAATCTGGGTGTGACCCTAGATAACAACCTGTCCTTCACTGCAAACATCGCTGCTACAACCCGTTGCTGCAGATACACGCTTTACAACATCAGGAAGATACGTCCCCAGCTGACCCAGAAAGCGACTCAGGTTCTGGTCCAGGCTCTCGTCATCTCACTCCTAGACTACTGCAATTCCCTCCTGGCTGGTCTACCTGCATGTGCCATCCGACCTCTGCAGCTCACCCAGAATGCAGCGTCTCGCCTGGTCTTCAACCTTCCTAAATTTTCCCACACCACTCCGCTCCTCCGCTCCCTTCACTGGCTTCCGGTAACTGCTAGAATCCACTTCAAGACACTGGTACTTGCTTACCATGCTGCGAATGGATCTGGCCCTTCGTACATCCAGGACATGGTTAAACCGTACACCCCAGCGCGTGCACTCCGCTCTGCATCAGCCAAACGACTCGCTGCGCCCTCGCTGCGAGGGGGACCCAAGTTCCCATCAGCAAAAACACGTGGGTTTGCTGTCCTGGCTCCAAGATGGTGGAATGAGCTCCCCATTGACATCAGGACAGCAGATAGCTTGCACACCTTCCGGCGCAAACTGAAAACTCATCTCTTTCGACTCCACTTCGAGCGATAGAACTATTAACAAAGCACTTTTATACTAACAAAGGACTGGCTTACCTAAAGCCAGTTGAGAAGCACTTGAAATGTTTGGCTCTATGAAACCTGATGTGCTTTATGATTCTGTTTTCTTCAAGTTTGTGTCTTCCTGGTCGAATGCACTTACTGTAAGTCGCTTTGGATAAAAGCGTCAGCTAAATGTAATGTAATGTAATGTAAGTTGGTCTAGAAAACAAGCTTTATTTTAAAAGCTGATGGCAAAAAACAAATAATGAACCGACACCGAACACAGGAAGAGACAAGACTACAGTAAATACAGGGAGGCGTAATCACGAGACGAGAAACAGCTGGGCAGGGGAGGTAGAAACACAAGGGCAACAGGTGAACACAATCAGACAATCCAGAGAAACTAACGACAGGGAGGAAAATACAGGGAGAAAATAACAGCAAAACAAAACCCAATACCAGACACACAAAACTAAAACCGTGACATGACATAAGAATCGTGACACCGGGACTTCACTGCAGCTCCACAATACTTCATTTAGATATTTTCACTTGTTCTGCCCTTGCCAAATACAGCGATTATTGAGATTTGGATATTGCAGATTAGTCCATATTCCAATTAAATAACATTTAGATGAATGAAGCAGCCCTCACAGTCTGCGTGTCTGCGTGTAGGAATACTGTGTTTGCTCTTTATAAGTCTTACTGGTTAACAAGATCCATGAGACTTTGTGTCACTGTCCCATCTTTGTCACGGACTTCCTGGATCAGAATGATGTCATAGCGAAGGACAATCTGAAAAAGAAAGAAATCAGATTCAAGTATTTGACACCATAGATCACAATATGTTACTGATGAAACTGGAACGTATGGCGTCAGAGGGGTGGGATTAAACTGGGTGAGAGATTATTTAAGCAACAGACAACAATTTGTTGAAATTGGTGAACATAAATCAGAATACATGAACATAACTTGTGGAGTACCTCAGGGGTCCGTGTTGGGTCCAGAGCTGTTTATAATATACATCAACGACATTTGCAGAGTATCAAATATATTGAAATTTATTTTATTTGCAGATGACACTAATATGTTTTGTTCCGGTGATAATTTGAAAGAGCTAATGGAAGTGATAACAGCAGAAATGATTAAAGTAAAACATTGGTTTGACACAAACAAATTATCATTAAATATAAGCAAAACAAAGATTATGTTATTTGGAAAACATAAAACAAATCCACAGATACAATTAATACTAGATAACATACACATATAAAGAGTATATGAAAGGAAGTTCCTTGGTGTGGTTTGAGAGCACAACATCAGCTGGAAACCTCATATCACTCATGTAAAAGCAAAACTGGCTAAAACTATCGCAATATTGGGAAAAGCCAGATACATTCTGGAACTCATTGTATACTCTATATAACACACTCATATTGCCATATCTGATTTACTGTGTGGAGATTTGGGGAAACACGTACAAAACCAACCTACAGCCGTTATGCACATTACAGAAAAGGGCTATAAGAGTAATCAATAATGTTGGATATCTTGAACACACTAATGTATTATTTTTGAAGTCACACATATTGAAGTTCATTGATCTGGTTACATTTAAAACGACACAAATCATGTACAGAGCCAGACATAATCTACTTCCTAGGAAATTAAAAACATTGTTCATAGACAGAGAGTATAATTTGAGAGGAAATCTACATTTTAAACTCAGGTCAGAACAACTCTGAGAAGTATGAGTTTAACAATCTGTGGGGTGACTTTATGGAATGGTTTGGAGCAGGAGTTCAAACAAAGCACAAGCATCATTCAGTTTAAAAGGATGTACAGAAACACTTTTTTGGAAACATGAGAATGAAGAAAGTGATTGAAGATGAGAAATGATTGTAAATGTATAAATGTAAATCTAAGTAGGAATAACTTGCATAATGATTTAAAGGACAATCATTGATCAAGTAAGGGGTGGGAATTAATAAGCATTTGCTTCCTCCTACTCCCTTTCGGACACATATGATTTATTATTATTATTATTATTAATATGAAGACATTTTTTTTGTTTTTGTTGAATATACAAATATTACCATGAATGTGGATAAATACTGTATTATAACAATACGGTATTCTGTTTTTCACATTTTGTATTTGTTATTTTTTAATCTGTTTGAAATAAAGACTGAAAGAAAGAAAGAAAGAAGTTATTGAAGCAGTGACGTCATATTTAATTAATGGTCAACTTTATAATATTATTAAAACAAAGTGGTCAGTTGAATTAATCAATTGGTGTTAATTGTTGTTCTGGGTAGGGGCAGACCAATTCCACACATTAACATTCATAGGCAGCACTACTTCCTGGTAAACAGCTGTAAAAAATATGTCAAAAAATATGACCTTTAAGTCATTAGTGTTAGAAACATGGGCAAAACAAATCACTTTTTAAACATTGAATTAGTTTTTCAGGATACTAAATTAGTATGTTGAGATATTAGGTCAGTATTTTCAGTTATTACTTGCCAAGATACAGTCAAGACAACAAGAAAAAACCCATATTAAATTCCAATACAGTTTCAGACCTCTTTGATGGTATCCATGACTTCTTTGTTCTGGGATTTCTTGGGTCCAAAACATTCGATGTTGAAGGCTCCAATCAGCAGACAGGAGGTCACATGCAGCAGGGCCAAGAAGAGACCCAGAGCACAAAGCAGACGCATCCTGGGACTAACAGGTCAGAGGCATATATAGTTAGAAATGCTTATAATCACTGTTGAAGCAGTTATCATTCTAAATCTTGACTGTAGGACAGATGGACAGTTAGCATGTAATAGTTATACTGTGATCCACCTGATCCTGAACGCAGTCTTTTCCCGCTGTTGGAGCATTTACTCAGGCAATGTCCTGAAGTACATTTCTACTCCACTACATTCAAAAGCCAGTATTGTTCTATTTCCTCCACGACATTTATCCACCTGCTTTTTACATCTGAAAGTATTTGTTAGAGCCATTTTCATTTCATTAATATGGTCTGAATGTTAGGCTTAACAATAATATAAGGATTTAGATTAATTAATTAATCATTTATTTTTGTGAGTCACACTATGGTTTAAAATATATTAATTTAAGGCTCATTTATTTGTTATGAAATGTGCGTCAGGTATCACGTGCATGGCTACATGTCTATATGGCAGGACAAGGGGACACAGCTGATGAGACGAGACGGGGAAGCGGTAAAGTGTTTCTATGCCGTCTGGACCAATGAATAGAGCTCATCTGATTCAACAACGACCTCCGTTACATTTCTTTGGAAACAAAGAGAGGCGCCTCAAAACCCACAGCCCGACAGAGAAGTGGCTATTACATGTAGACACGGATTGAAGTGTTTGTCCTGATAAAGTTATCTCTACTACGTAGCTTGTAGCATGTAGCTTGTAGCATGTAGATGAGAGGTGATGTGATTCAGCAGTCTTTATTACTTGTTTGCGCACATGAATATACATATGTGTGTGTGTGTGTGTGCACGACTGTTAGGATACAACAGTGTGTGTGTATGTGTGCGCAATTGTTGCAAGGAGGGGGGAAAAACACAACGCTGCAGCTCCGTTGATGGGACTTGGCTAATTAGCGGCTAGCACTCATTACAATGAGCTCAGCCCCTCTCCAACACATCAGCTTTGCTAAATAGACAGCGTTAGCCCCCATCTTTTGGGATTTCAGATTATAATTATCCGAATAGTATTTTCTCATCCTGAATACTAAATTGAGATGATTTTGTTCCAACTATGTTTCTTCTATAGGCCTAGGTCAGCACCTCACATGTTACCAGCGGAAAACCTGTGATGATAGATGATATATTCTGCATGTCAGACTGACCCACCGAAGCTGCGTACTGTATTTTCTATGGGTTCAATGAACCGTTGATTTTGACAATAAAGTTCCGACAGTTTATATAAAATGTGTCATGATTATTCATGTTTGGTATTTTGAAAAAAAAACTTCACAGACATGTTTTATATAGGTATGGCCCTACAATATATTATTCAAATATAGAATGATCGGTCCACTTTAACTGACCACGCTTTGCCCATTCTGTCTGGACTGTTTATATTAATTATATTTTGATGCTAATACTTTTCTATTTTAACTTGAGTAACATTAATGCAGGTCTTTTACTGTAACTGAGTATGCATACACTCTTACTTTTACTTAAGTATAAGATCTGAGTACTTCTCCCACCTCTGGACAGAAGTTACATAAGCTTCAAAATCATAGGTGCGCTCCGGTACTTCTGAAATGATCACAACACCCTGCATATAACAGAACATCAGAGAAAACCAAGCCAATATCAAAAACTAAGATATGTCCTAATGAAAGTACAGCTTTAACCTTAGGGTGTTTTCACTTTCATGTACATTTTAAACACAATATACAACTTCTGTGAGTTAAGGGCATTCTTACCTTACTCCTAGGAGATGAGCAGAGTTCACAAAATAAAGGTTAGGTTTCTCAGAGAGACCGAAGTTCAAAAGTAAGAACCCAAATCAGCCAGCTGCCTTAACACAGAGCATTTATACTCTCCCTTATACCTCCCTTTCTATCTAATTCCACACCCCTTATGTCTTTACTTGGAAGTGAGTTGTCAATGTTGCAACACTCTATATTTTTCAATACAAAAACAAAGTTAAATGAAGAAATTATGAATAAAACGTAATCAAAGTAAAAGAAAAACAAACTATAAGTACTTACAAGAATCCTCTTGAAAAATCTTCAAAACCAGAAATGGGTCTATTGCTTCCTCTTTAAAAATTAGCATGAAATTGTGTGTTCTGTATTTACTAAGTGGGAACAGTGAGCACTGATTAGAAAGTTCCTCATGTTCAAGCTTCAGTTCCTGTTTCTTGATAAGCAATGACTCATGACCTTTATGTGTAAAAAGTACATTGATAGCAATAACAAAATGTGAGGGGTAGGGTTAGGCCCTACCCCTACCCCTCACACCAGATACTGACTGGTTTTCGGACCCCCCCAGACCCCCCCAATAAAGCAAAACTGCACGTTTCAGAGTGGCCTTTTATTGTGGCCAGCCTAAGGCACACCTGTGCAATAATCATGCTGTCTAATCAGCATCTTGATATGCCACACCTGTGAGGTGGGATGGATTATCTCGGCAAAGGAGAAGTGCTCACTATCACAGATTTTTTCAGATTTTTGAACAATATTTGAGATAAATGGTTATTTTGTGTTTATAGAAAATGTTTTAGATCTTTGAGTTCACCTCATGAAAAATGGGAGCAAAAACAAAAGTGTTGCGTTTATATTTTTGTTCAGTGTAGATATCATTTTCAAATCATTTAATTTGTTCCTCTTCATCCTTTCCTTATAAACTAAGTAGGACGATTTAAAACTCACTTAATTGGGTTAATTTTGAAATGGCTTCAGTTTATCATAACAGATCAAAAAGTTCAGATTCATTGTAAAATAAATCAAGGAATGATGCACTTCTACAAACAAAAACAACATAATTAAAACATTTAAACAAACTAAAAGTAGATGAACTACATTCCCATTATTGTGTTCTCTTTCAAATGTGGGTGATTGCTATACACATGAATGCTGACCCTTCTGACGTTTGACCTTATGTGAGAATGCTGTTCTTTGACTCAAGTAAACCTCTACATATTAAACTAAACTTGAGTCATTGTCCGAGTTACTCTGGATACACATTGTCTTTCTCTTCAGTAGAAACTGATATCCATTTCCTATAAAAGATCTCTTGGTTAATGCTCACAATCATCATATTTCATTTACCTCACCTTTTATAAACACTAAGACGCTTCACTCTCTGTTTCAAAAACACAAGTTTGCATTGAAATCATTTGGCTTTTATTTTATTTTTGTATTCTTTTTCAATGCTGCATGGTTTCCAGAAACAACTGAATAATCCTAATTCAGATTCAGATGGAAGTTTTGCGTCCTTTTTTGTAATTTCTGGGCTTATATGACTGGTCCTTTGAACCCCGTCTGCGTTTTCCTGCATTTTTTGACGGCTTCCGCTTCGGCTTCAGTTCCCCCCCCCCCCCTCCAGCTCCAGCCTCACCTCCACAGGGAAATGGTCACTGACCTTCTTTGCCTGAAAGAAACAGAGAAAACATTTTAGAAACTACATTTCTATTTGTTATTTTTCCAACTTGGCATACAGAACATAGTCTCAGTTAAACTTCTAATAGGTGGTTTATTTGCACAATATGTTTTTTTAGACCGTCAACTCAATAGTTCATAAAAATAAAAGAAATCACAAGCTTTACTTAATCTAGTGATCGTGTAATCTAGTTCCTGACTGTAGTGAATACTCCTGTCAAGTCGTGCATTCTGCACGCCTAATAACTTTATCTGTTGTACCTCAAGTTTACAGCACTGTCTCACCAGTTGTTGTCTGACATATCAGCTCAATATAACGACTCGCTCATCCACCGTGACATTAGACGTCAGAGCAAAGGAAACGTCTTGGAATAGCTGTTTGTGTTAGTTAGATTATCTATGGCTCACATGGAATGATCATTAAGGTCTGATGCAATTTCAAAATGTCAAATATTTCCATTGATCAAATGCTGATCTTCACTGTATTAATATGCAGTCATGCTTTATTTTAGTTATGTACACTTACGCTGAATTACTTTAGTTACATGAGTAAGATTCTAAATATGGCTCACATCATTTGAAGTGTCTGATGCACTTTATAATTTGAATGTATACAATACAAATGTGTTTATTGATTGATGGTTAAATGAGTAAATGCTTCACATGCAGTGCTGGGTGTAACGCGTTACAAAAGTAACGGAGTTACAGTAATGTATTACTTTTTGCTGTAACGAAGTAATGTAACGCATTACTAATGACATGTGGGTAATATACTACCCGGTACGTAACGCTGTTACAAGCTACAACACATTTTAACCCGAAATGAAATGGTGTTTTGACACGTCTCATCAACGTGTATGTTAGACTCGAAGTTTTTCCATTAATTAGCACTTATTTATTAAATATTATGAATATGTATTTATTATCAGGCTATGTTCCACAATCATTTAAAGTAGCAGTGATAAAACCTCTTCTTAACCTGTTAAGCCCTGAGCCTGTTTTTCAGGTCTCAGGCTCGAAAATGATACTCCCAGAACAAATGACCATATATTCCCTTCTAAAAGGGTTAAATTAATAATCTTTTTTCTCAAAGTAATGATAAACCTGTGAGTTGGATGTAGAAAAGTCAGAATCAATATAGATGTTTTTTATTTGAAAGAAAATTCAGATTGAACATAGTAAAAAACTGTAAATTATAGTCTCTGCCCAAAGATTATTTTTTACTTATAGTGAAAACTACCCTTGGATGATGGTAAGATAGACTAAAAGCTTTAGGAATCCAAAGTACAAATTATAATAAGTACCCTGTATCAAGATTGAATACAAAACAAGTGACATTTGACCTTTTTAGAGAGGTTTAGCAAAAAAAACTCCACCTCTGAGGTGATTTGGGTGGAAATGGGGGTTTTACCGTTTCTCTGGAACCCATTGGTCGATTTTGGTGATTGACATCTCTTTCTGACCGTTAGAGCCAATGGAATCGAAGGGGAATCTCCCCCCACACACACATGGTAAAACAAAAAGGTGGGGGCTTTGCGTACCCAGTTTTGCACCAGAGTGAAGCTGTATCTAGGTCTGACATCTCAAAACCGAAAAGCTGATTTATTTCTCATGGATGATCAGAAATCATTTCAAAGGGACACAGACACCTTGGATTAACCTATGGATTAACTTCAGCAGCGTTTGTATCGTTTTAATGCCATTGAACACCACTTTTGACCAGACTACGGCACAGGTGAGCCATGTTAGCGTTTTTAGCTACCTAGCTCCATATATTTTGATGTCTGTTCTTGTTATTATCTCCGAGAGTTCGTATAATTGAGTGATAATGAAGGGTACCCCTCGATTCTGTGTCACCTCACAATGTGAAACGATGTGTTGTTGGATGTGCAAATATAAATAATAAGGTTTTGTGAGTGAATTTCGGTGCAGTCATCTGTTGCTAGTTCAGAGGCTCAGCGTTAGCATTGTGGGTTTTTAAAAAAAAAACAAAAAAAAACATGATCAGTTAGATGAGTTTCTTCCCGTTACATGGATATAAAACATTCATAGTTTATTAAATGAACATGCCCTCAGACACTGTTTCAGTGGTTTTCAAACTGTGGGGCGCGACCCCTGGTGGGTCACGGAGGTACTGCGGGGGGGGGGGAGATTTTTTTATTTTATTATTTTCTCCTTTTAGCTTTGTGAAGCACCTTGAGATTACGTTGTTTTTAAAGTGTGCTATATAAATCAAATGTATTGTTATTATTATTATTCAATTGTAAACAAACACTGCTCGAAAATATCTCATTGGTCAGAGAGCTGTGGGCATAATGCTGCCTTTTGCAACATCCTACTTGTGTGAGATCGGCTTTTCTGCTGCCATCAAAACGAAATACAGATCAAAGCTGAACATTGAGAATGAACTGAGAGGGGCAGTCTCAAAACAACAGCCCCGGTTTGAGAAGATCTGCGAGGGAAAGCAAGCACACACAAGTCATTGATAGGCTATGTGTGGAATAGGAATGGTAAAGTGATGTGATAGTTTGCAACCTGCAGTAGAAATAGTAGTTCATTAATATATTGTCCTTAAAGACATTTGAATTTAAAAATCTACTGCTCAGAAGGCCTGCTAGTTTTAATTAGGCTAAATTAATTCACAGTATCTATTACAAGCACTTTAGTTCATGTGTAATCCATAATAAAATATAAAATGATAGTTGGATGATCTTTGTATCTTCTTATTATTAGTAGAGAAAATGTAATGTTTTTACAACAATATACAATTAATACCAATATAGATGGGAACCGGGTTGGGGGGTCCAGAAAATATTTCCAATTACCCAAGGGGGGCCAGACTGAAAAAGTTTGGGAACCACTGCTGTAAGATGTTGCAGGAGGGCCCCGGTACCGGGGTCTCTCAGGCTTAACAGGTTAAAAAGCACAACCTCGATCCAGAGGTTTTAGCCAATTATAGACCTATTTCTAATCTTCCGTTCCTCTCAAAGATTCTTGAGAAAGCAGTCGCAAAACAGTTGTGTGATTACTTAAAAAACAATGATTTATTTGAAGCTTTTCAGTCTGGCTTTAGAACACATCATAGCACAGAGACAGCTCTGGTTAAAGTCACAAATGACATTCTAATAGCCTCAGACAAGGGACTTGTCTCTATTCTTGTTTTGCTCGATCTCAGTGCTGCATTTGATACTATCGACCATGATATCTTATTGCAAAGACTAGAGCACTTAGTTGGCATACAGGGAACTGCTTTAGGCTGGTTTAGGTCCTATCTATCTGAACGCTCTCAGTTTGTACGTGTCAACGATGAATCTTCCATGCAAACCAAAGTTAGCCATGGAGTGCCACAGGGCTCAGTGCTCGGACCTATTTTGTTCACATTATATATGCTTCCGTGAGGCAATATTATAAGGAATCACTCTGTACATTGTCATTGTTATGCGGATGATATTCAATTATATCTATCAATCAAGCCTGATGAAACAAATCATCTAAATACAATTCAAGACTGCCTCAAGGACTTCAAAACGTGGATGACCTTACATTTTGTTATGTTAAACACGGCCACAGGTTATCATACTCGGCCCAAAGAATCTATGAAACAAACTATCTAAGGATATACTAACTATGGATGGCATTAATTTGGCCTCCAGTGAGACTGTAAGGAATCTTGGTGTTATATTTGATCAGGATTTATCCTTTAACGCCTACATAAAATCAATCTCTAGGACCGCCTTCTT